CAACCTTGGAAGATACTGTTGTTGTGCTAGCTTTCTTTATTTACTTTGTAAGACCTCGCCACTGTAAATTTATCTTATCAATAGATGTATATATGTTTTGTCTGTCACATCTCAAGAATAACAGTATTGTAAATTCTTGGGGTGTGACAGTAGCTCAGGGTTTGAGGTAACTGATGTAATCAACGAATCATAATCAATACTAAGACCATCCAATGCATAGAAAATGAGGTCCTTCTATGAGATTGGCTGTTGTATGGCTGCCAACTCATCTACAAAAGCTTTAATTTTCTCCATATACTCAGAAATAGTGAGAGAACCTTTGCGAAGGTTAGAGAGTTCATGCTTCACCTGATACAATCGAGCATTAGTTTGGGAAGTAAACGCCCTTTCAAGGGCTTGCCAGGTATCACAAGCAGTAGTGTACCCAATCACTTGAACGAAGATGGTTGAAATAAGAGTTGCATGAAGCCAACTGAGAAGCAGATGATCTCTTTTTTTCCAAGCAGTATACTCAAGATTTAGAGCAAGTATATTTTCACCAATTCGTTAACGCTCTCAACATGCTCATTTGGAGGAACAAAAGTTCCATCTACAAGAGAAAGTATATCAGTACTCTAAAGTATTGGTAGCAACTGACTCTTCCACATCAAATAGTTGTTATGATCTAATTTGATCGTGACCTGAGAGAAATTAGGCAATTCGGGTACAAATGGTGCAATAGCCTCAGTCTTGGTACTAGAGACTGTGTTTGATGCCATTGTAAATGGTGTAGAAGAGAGAAAGATGAATAAACAATGAATAAGATAAGAGAGAGAGAGAGATAGTGGTTATAAGAGGAAGCCCAAGTAGGGAGAGAGATGGTGGTTAATGTTTTGGGTTGTTGGTGGTGGGACACGCAACTAATATGGTGTAAAAAAAAAAAAAGCGATACAGAGAGAGAAAGAAAAAGGGAGAGAGAGATGAAGAGGCTACCACCAAAATAAGGAAGCTCTCAAGAGATGGCAGCAAAAAAAATTGATAGAGAGAGAGAATGGAAAGGGAGATAGAAATAAAGAGGCTACCACAAAAATAGGGAAGCTCTCAAGAGAAAGCAACGTCAATGTCGAAGGCTAGGGTTTATCGCTCTCATACCATGAAGAGAATTGTAATTATCCCTTAATTAATTGAGTGGTACATCAATGATATATATAACATGATACAACAACAACTTGATAAGGATTATTGACTAAGTAAATCAAGGATACGTGTAACAACCAATATTTACAACAAACCAAGATAAGTCGAAGATATGTTAACCCCTCAAGAATCTCTTTCAAATTCAAATACAATTTCTCTCAATAATCTCATATACAACTAAGTATTCCATGAGTTAAAAAGAAGAGGGATACAAGGTTGAAACATGATAAAACCTATTGCCTCACCCACTAAAGACCTAAAGCATGAACATCCTAAACATGGCTTCCTTGAACTTCGTATTTTATAAGAGCTTCATGATTTCATAGTGGGGTTCAAGTTAATAATCAACTTCTTCCTAGAATATGGGCATCTTCAATGGAAGGGTTGTCCATTAGAAAACTATCAAGAGATTTGGGAGGGAAATATTAATGCAATTGTTATAACTGGAAGAGAAAGAAGGGATTTATAGGGGTGGCAACATGTCAGGTCGGGTATGGCTGGACTTGGACCAGAAAAAATAATATGGGACCCGGACCCAAATTCACCAGACCCAGATGTGGACCCCAAAATATGGATTGGGACCCATTCTCGGACCCATACGTGATTGGACCTGATCCAAAACTTAAAATATTTATGTATTTAAGTATATTTAAATATATTTTATGAATTGGAACTTGAAAAATATGACTGGATTTGAATCGGGACCTGGACCTAATTATACTCGGACCTGGACAAGATTTGAACCCGAACCCAACTCGCTGGGCCCAATTTTTAGACCCATACCTGGACCCAAATTAGGTCTACCCCTCGGGTCCCAGATCGGGTCCATTGCCACCCTAGGGATATCTGGTGAAAGAGTAAAATACGAGGAACCATGTGAGATTGGAACAGTACGATGAAGAGCTAGCCCTTGTAATTATACTAAAGAAGGATAACGTTGTAAACAATCACCTCAACATTAATTTTTGATCAATCTTATTAGGTAACATAGATAGGCATAAGGAACTCAATTAAAGAGAAGAGAAACAAAAACAGTGGGGCATCTAGATATTATTTTTTATTTTTTTTATGTTTTACGTAATTCAGTGGGGATGACGAGCCCCTACCCGTTCTTTAAAATCGTTAGTGGTTTTGAATATGTTAGGTGAGAATGGAAGCCTGGACCTTAGTTGGGCACAAGTGGTGTTACCACCACGACCCCAACCCCAATCTCACTTCTAGATATCATTTCGTTCGCAGAGAAGAGAAAGTGTACGAGGAGATTGGGACCGGTAAAGTTGGCAAAAAATGGTTTAATGCTACCGATCATGCCCTCATGCATTGGATTCATAATTTTTTTTAAGTGCAATGGAAACCTTTTCGAAAAATAGTGATATTTTTGTTCTTCGAGTTGCAAATTATAGAACTTTGACTAACTCTAATGCAATGTAATTGGCTGACTTGCTGATCTTCTCTTTACAAAAAAAAAATCGAAGTACTTGATCTAGATATGTTTTACACATATTTGGCAAGTCCCAAGAGATTTATGTTTCATAATATTTCAAGATATATATGTCTCTCTCTCTTGTTTTTTAAAATAATTTGATATGCAATTGTGTTGGGAAAGGGCTCTGATGATGATCATTTTGATATGCATTCATGTTTCTCCAAAATGTGGGTAGATTCATATAAATAACTATGACTCCAATGCAAGAAAATAACTAGAAAAAATCGCACAGTCCCGAGAACAAATTCTCCCAATTTTGATTTCATAAAATGGAAATACAAAAAGAGGCTTTTTACATATTGTGAGGTACTCTAGGAACATTCAATTATTGTCACAATTTACCCCAACTAATATCTCAAGAACCTTTGATTCAACCATTCATGCCTTATATAGTTTACAAAATTAAGAGAAGATAAACTAGATTCGGGCCTTAAATAGTTTACAAAATTTAGAGAATACAATATAGAAGAAAGCAATGGGAAAGATAGTCCCCATATCTTTCCCAATCCAAGGCCTTAGTATGTTTTACACCCATTAAAGTAGAATGATCCGTGTTGCCGAACGCACTTTATTAAAAAAAGCTTTTTTAGAGTAGAATAATTCGTATTGTCGAACCCAATTAAGTAAAAAAAGCTTCGATGATGACTATGATGATGACCCTTGGGACCATATCGTCTCTTTGCTATCTCTAAGTAAACCCAAGCTTTAAAAACTTTCATGGACCTCAAATATTGGGGACAGCATTTTGAAGTGAGAGATCAACAAAAAAAAAATTTAAATTGCGTATTTTTTCTACTTGAAAAATTAATATCATGAAAGCCAGAATATGATGAAGAGTTCAAATTCCAATTTTTTCATTTTGAAAAATAATCATACGGTGATCTTTATATGGATCTCGTATCACATAAAAAAGCCCTCCCAATCAGTTCTTTTGCCCTAGGATTTAATATACAATACGCTCCTGTGGGAGCATACTGTAAATAAATCTGTTGTCACGTCGATCGAGATGCTTGTATTACTTTTTCGTTACCTGGCCATTACGCAAATTCACGTCCATTAAATAACGTCCATTAAAAGCTTATTTTCATAGCTTTTCTGCACCAACTTTGAAGCTTTTTTGAACTTTAGGGTTTTGGCCATTTCTTTCCCGCTATTTTTCCATTTCTTTCCCGCTATTTTTGAATTTTACTTTTCGTGCTTTAGGGATCGCCATTGTTGTAGTTCCATTGTCTTTGAAGCTTCTTGGAGTTTTTTGGGATCTCCATTGTTGGCCTTTTTGTACTTTAGGCTTATTCAAGCTCTGCAGTGGGAAGAAGCAGTTCAGAAGTCAAATTTGTTGAGTAAAAATGGAAGAAGGTTTTGAAACTTGACAATGCTTGTTTATTCCTGAGCTATTGCTTGATATGCTTTAAATTCTTCTTACTCTTCTTCTTCTTCTGCATCTTCTTCCCTTTTTGGTGATTATTTGTATGTATTTCAGTGCATGGAGATGCCTTTGCTGCAAGAGGATGAGTAAGCTTGTTCATTGTTGATTATACGAGCACTGTCGTTTGATATATGCAGCTGAAAAATAATCTCTCTTTGTTTGTCCCTCTTAGATTCTCTCTCTCTTCTGATAGGTACTTACTCTCTTAACATTTTAAGGGTTTATTACATACAATATAATTTGCAGGCAAAGAGCTCAAAGTGCTGTATTTCTTTACCCTCTCTCTATATCTACCTTTCTATTTCTCCATCTACCTCTCTATTTCTATTGATTTGCACATTCTGTTTATTCTTAATGTTATTCTTAATGCTTAGAGTCACTGTGGTTCTGCATCATCCATTGGAAAGTTGCCTTTCCATAAGAAACAAAACTCTTGTTTATGTCCCTGGAAAACCATATATTAGGTTTTGAGGTTTTCCTCTAGAAAGAAGTTTGGTACAAATTCGACATTTATTGTTTTAGAAATATCAATTCTCCATTTATTCTCTTTGGAAAGATGTTTCCTGCTCTATCACTGTTTGCAAATTGATTCTACATTCAGATCAAATCGAGTTGTTCTTTAACTCTGCTTTCCAATCTTGCCATAACCTTTTTTTTTTTCTTGTTGGGTTTAAAACCATTCAAGAAATGGGAACATCTATTTTTTTAATGTTGATTGATGCTTGGTACCCACGTTTCAGTAGATATTTGTACTGTATGTAGGTCTTTGCATTTCATTCTTATATTCTCCTCTTCAACTGAATTTAACACTTTCAGGAATTGTTGATATGGCTAAAACTAAGGTGATATTTTTCTTGTTTCTATGTGTCCTTTCTACCTTCTCCTTTTTGCTTTTAGTAAAATAGATCAGAACTCCAGCACAGATTGATTTTTATTGGGAAACAGTGTTCCAAAAAGTGCTAGGCAGGTCTTAGGCGGCCTAGGGGGTACGGGCCGCCCGGTGCCTAGGTGGGCGCCCAGAACTTGGGCGGCCCAGTTGAATCCAAAAAGCATTCTACAGTTATATATTTTATAAAATATAAGAATTCGGTATTTAGGGCACATCAAAATTCAAAGTATATTACACATTACCGCATACTCCATAAGCATAACCATAAGTTGGTCCATAATCCATATCCAATTAAAACTTAAAATTTACCAACCAACCAAATTACCAAGTCAAAGTTACTAATTAGTACCAAACTAGTGGAACCACAAATCCACTATCTACAAATCACATTAAATAATTACACCACCATGCGGAAGAAAACAAAAATGAAAGTAATACTTGAATACTCAAAAGAATATAGACAATAGTTCAATCAAAGTTCAAAGTTTAATAATTATTCAACAGCCATCATTCATCATCAAAAAAATTAGGGCCAGCTGCATTGACATCATATTCATCGGAGTTGTCACCCTCCTCGACATATTGGTCGTCCTCCTCCGTCTCTTTTGAATCTGTCTCTTCTTCCTCCTCTTCTTCCTCCACCTTCGTTCTCTTTGCAGAAGATCTAGTAGCCTTAAGAGAGTCAGTTGATGTCGCTGAAGCATCCATGACCCTGTCCCATATCAATCCTTCATGTCCCTCGACCTTATCATCATCAACTAACCACTCTATAGCATTGTCCATATTTTTTGATCAGATGGGGTCTCTCTTATCTCTTGTAGTAAATCTGTACTTCAAGAATTAATTGTACTTAACATAGACTAGGTCATTGAGCCTCTTTGATTCAAGCCTGTTCCTTTTCTTTGTATGAATATAACAAAATAAAATAAACTAATTAAAATCTAGGGTTCATGTATTATTAATACAATTATACAAATGACCCTTACGACCTTAACCCTTCAAAAGTACTCCAATTGTGCTCACAACCGGATGAGGAAGTGGTTAGGTTTAAGATCCGAATAACCAACTTTTATAAATTTGGAGAACTACACCCATGTTCGTTTCACCAATTGGCTGCAAAGATATAGAATAAAATCACAAATAAATAATAGAATTCAAAAATGAAACGTGATTACTTGAACTTGATGAACTTAAGAATATTATTACTACCTGGATCAATTTTGATCATTTGCCTCATCGCCATTGGACTCCCAAAAGACTTTAATGAACATTTGTAATTTATCAGCTCATCAAAGCATATAATATCATGGATATCAGGATTAGAGACTAGAACATCTACACACTTATTAAATTCAGCCATAATTGTGTGTATATCCTTGTCAACATAAAAAAAAGCTGGGTTCAAATAATAACCAGCTGCATGTAATGGCCGATGTAGTTGCTTATCCCACTTCTCATCAATAATCTCCCAAACAGGCTTGTAACAGTTCTCATCATCATCAAAATTTTGGATTATCTCTCTTTTGCATTTCTCTATTGCCATATATATATATCTAGCCCATAGAAAGCTTGTCACTATCAACCATGCGGATGACTTTGACAAGAGGAAAAAATACCTTAAGAGCACCCTTCACCCCTTGCCAAAAGGTCTTAGAAAGGATAATATCTCTCACCTTCTTCTCAACCTGATCCTTGGCCCACTTGCATGCTTTCCAGTCATTCGAGGTAAACATCTGCCTCAACTGCACTCTCTTTGAATGTATGCTATCTAAGCATAAGTACCAGGTCGCAAATCTCGTGACCCCAGGCCTCACAATCTCTTTCTTCTACGCATCATGCTGAGGATGAGATGGTGGCCATAAATGAAATTTGTAACTGACTTTGCCTTCTTCATTGCACTTGATATCTCGGTTACACGGCCAAGCGCCTCAAGTATGAGATATGTACAATGTGCTGCACATGATGTCCAAAAGATTATAGGATAAGCTATGCGCAACAAATTAGTTGCAGCATTATCTGTGACAACCTGTACAACATGATGCTCCCCAACCTCCTTGATTCTCTTCTCTAAAACTTGGAATATGTAATGGGCATCATGGATATGATCAGACTTAAAAAAAAAAGTCCCTAAAGGACAATTCACAAGCAAATTCATCTGATTTCTTCTCTTCCTATCACTCCAAGCATCAATCATAATAGAAACCCCATACTGAGCCCATGCATCCTTTGTAACTTCTACAGCTTCCTTCGTGACACTCACCGCCTTTTTCAAAAGAGGCTCTGAAAGGTCATATGGGGTTGGGGGTTTCATCCTAGGCCCAAATTGGCCAATTGCCTCTACCGCGGCATAGAAGCTACTTAGGAGAGCGGTATTGAAAAGAATGCTCGCCTCATAAAACCATGTAGCAAGATAATAAGTGCTCTATCTCTCTCTTCCTTCTTCATTTTATTTTCAATGGTGGTTTGCATCTTTGTTTTCTCTCCTGCAACCTCAAGGTCAGGTCGAGGCAAGAAACTATCCATAGGGTTTCTAACTCGAGGCTTCTTACTGTTAGAACCAGAATCAAAAGCAATTACAACTCCCTTTCCCTTAATAATGGATTGTTCTACTTCTACCTCTTGACATCCCTTCCCAATCCCATCCTCATCACTATTATCATCATCATAATTGACCCGAACCCCAGACCTAATCTCTGCTATGGAGGCAAATCTCTCATCTTTTTTCATTTTTACCATATTAAAAAAATTGGTTATTTCCTCTTTAATGACATCAGGAGTCTTTTTACATGGGACAACATCCCCTCTGATATTGGTAAGATGTTTCTTGAACCGGTTTATTTTGTATCATTCTCACAAAAATTGCATCTTATGCAATTTTTATCATTAGGATCTGGGTTATAGCTACATTTCTAACCGAGATTACTACTCCCATTAGAGCTCAAAGAAAACATCTCAAAATAATACAATTTATACAAGCAATAAAAAAAATCACTTACTTTGAGTTTGATTGCTCAATCTCCAAACTTCCACCTCAAAGATTCTTCTAAAAACTCAAAATCTTCTAAAAAAACCTAATAGATTTATAAAATATCAAAAATTAAATCTAGTATCAATGGGTGATGTTTTGATTAATTTCTCATAACTTTGAGAAACCCTTCGATCCTAAAGAAATCACCAAAAAAAATAATTTTTTGGGGGCTTTCTCTCTCTTTAAAATGGGCTCCAATAAGTTTTAGGTTTCAACTGAACCTAAAATCCCCATTTTTAGCCTTTAGTATAAAAAAAAGGGACCAAAAATGCCCCCACCAAAAGCAATTTTTGCCTTGGGGCGGGGCGTTGGACCTGGGCGGCTGCCTAGGCGGTTTCCTGGGTGCCTAGGCGAGCTCCCAGGAACCACCGTGTTTTTTGGGCACCTCCCAGATCCACTTAGGTGGCCACCCAGGCGCTAGGCGGTCCGCTTTCTGAAACACTGTTGGGAAATCTTATCAATTTCTATAAAATGCATGCGGAATTCCTAGAACAGTTGTCCAACCAATTTTCTAGGAGAAATTGTTACAAGTATCACTTCAACAATGAATGAAGAAGGGTATAGATTGAAAAAGTTCCTTGAAGCACTACTTGGGCCTCCACAATTGTGGTAATTTGGATCCCCAAAGCAATAATAAGGCAGTGGAGAATACATCTTTAGTAGCCAAGGTAACCCCAATGTTCTTTGGACCCATATGGAACTTCCATTGAGGGCCCCTCGATAGCCTTATGGTACTTTTACTGGGATTAAGCTAAATGAGAGGAGTGAGAGGGTTTCTGGGCACTTAAAGAACCTCTTGAGTATCAGGTTAGAGAATAGCACTCGTTGAGTTTGCCTGTTACATGCGTGTTCATGAGCACGAGTTGTCAAAAAATGTTTTTGGAGTTGAACAATTGTTCTAAAGTGGCCAGCAGATGTTGTTGATAGTAACACATTCATGTGTAGATATAGCCACCTATTTGCTGGTTGGGGTGTCCACAATGTAATAGATCATTATGAATAAGACTTTGGAGTAATGTTTTAGAATGGCAGCATTATTGTAGTTTGCTTTCATGTTGTCTATTCCTTTAAAGTAGCCACAATCTACAATCTACATTCTACAACCCATGATTTATTACAGAAGAAAAAATGTTGATTGAATTGATGTTTAGGTTATAAAGTTGGGTTAATATCATTCAGATGTTTCCGTTGTTTCCTTCCAACTGAAAATCGAAAACCTCCAGTGTGTCCAATATATCAAATACAGGGCTATGTTTTTGTAATTTTTGGATGTTAAATAATTATCAAAGAAGCTAAAGGTTAAAATGGTATATCCCCCTCTTTGCAGGCTTTCTGAAAGCTCAATTTCTACACAAACATGCATTCACACTCATTCTCATGCAACTATCATTCTGGAAAAGAAGTTATGTCTTTGTGTTTGTGCCAAATGTGATGCCTTTAACTTAATAAGATCAGGTTTTCCCATTTTACAATATGTTGGATGCATTTCGACTGTTTAGATTTTTATTCCTTGGAAAGGTCATCTCAGGTTTAACCAACAAGTTCTGTTTCAGGATTCCTGAATTTGAATAGGGATATGGAAGCTTATCTGCCTTGCAGTAGTTTTTATATGACATAATTGTGCATTATTTTGTATGTATATTTTTTTGAAGGATTTGATGGCCCTGACGGAGAGGATTTTCCTTACATTTAATCAATGTCAAAATCTTTCTTCCTTGCTGGATTCGCATGTGGCATTGTCACGCGAAGGATAGAACAGAATTGCGACTGACGCCAGCTGCAACAATCGATGTTAGTATATGATCATCTTGCTTGGAGCTTGTAGGAAGACTAACAGTGACATTGACATTATTAAAAGGGACGCTAGTTCCTGCACCCACCTTTTTTTTTTCGTTTTGGTAATCTTACCCATTATGTGCAACTACCTCTCTCTTAGTGAGAGGGTCAAGTTAGCTGGATGGGGTGCTGTAACAATTAACCCACTTATTGAAATTGCTTTTTCTAGTTGTTGTGCCTATAATTCATTCATTCATTTTGCTGCACTTTGTGCATCATGTGAGTCAAATTTAGCATGTAAGATCGCTCTGTGGCAGATGTTGCTGACGATAGCATATGCGCACAATCCATCTACAAGCGTGGCTACGAAATTTGTCCATTCCTCTACTAATAAGAATCGGTGTTCAATTAATCGAGTTCTGGTAAGTTTGCTAAAAATTTGTAACACCACAAAATATGGTTGTTTAATTTTCTCACAATAATGCAAAAACTGGAGCTGGAATGAGATAATTTAACTTATGTCAAATCTTCTCTGCGCTTGCTTTGTCTTGTTGACAATTATATTGTTTATCTGGTTGTCATGTCTTGATGCTTCTTAACTGTATGAACTCCATGTATTCAATATCATGACGCTCACATTATACTTTTATTCTTCCAGTGACAGTATTATGGGCAATAAATAGCAGATTTTGAGTCATCGTTGACTGAGAGAAATTGAACATTTGAGATTGCATTCAAGAAATATATCCAAGTGTATGTTGAAAACTTCCATCATCTGATTAGGAGGTAAGAGGGGTTGGACCCCGTACATTTATGTGATCTATTTCAAAGTATTCTTTGGTTTTATTTGAAATGGAAAGAAATGTAATTGATTGTTAGTCATCGAACAACTTGCAATGAGTTATCATTGGATGTTGAAATGCAATTAGACATCAATAACTAAAACATTGATATGAATTTATCAAAAAGGGGAATTGATATGCATCAAGTTGCTTCCCCTCTTGCAAACAAAGATATACACATATGAGCCGAGAGAGAGAGAGAGAGAGAGAGAGAGAGAGAGAGAGAGAGAGAGAGAGAGACACTCTACTACTAGTTATTAGTTACTTACTTACCTTACGTTAGTAGTAGGTTAGGGTTGGTCGAGCGACGACGTACCGTCGTACGTACCGTACTACGTACGTACGT